TACCACATGCCCAAAAATATACTAAACAGGGAGAACTTGTACGAGTATTGGGAGTGTTTCAATAAATTATGCGTGAGCTGCCCGCAACATCAAATTAGCGAGCAACTACTGATCCAATATTTCTATGAGGGTCTGGCATTGATGGATAGGAACATAGTTGATGCTGCAAGTGGTGGAGCCCTTGTTGATAAGACACCAGCTGAAGCGAGTCGTATAATTGCCACCATGGCGGCGAACTCACAACAATTTGGCACCCGTAATGATGTGACACTTAAAGCGGGGATGGGAGCAAATAACTTTGTTGTAGAGGAAAAGCTGATAGAACTAATAACTTTGGTGAAACAATTAGCTGTTGGAGGAACCAAGCCAGTGAAGCCATGTCGAATATGTGCCACCACCGATCATGATACTAACTCTTGTCCCATGATAGAAAATGAAATCGTGGCACATGCGAATGCGGTCGGTACAAATGGGAACTTTCTGAGGAAGCAGCAATATGATCCATTCTCGAGTACATATAATCCCGGTTGGCGCGATCACCCAAACTTGAGGTACGGGAACTCATTTTACCAGCAGCCCAGCCCGAACCATGTTGGGAGTTTCCAGCAACATCCCCCTCAAATATTTCTCAGACAAGCACCACCCGAACAACCCCCCAACTCTGATTCTGGCACCTCTCTAGAAGATATCGTGAAGCAACTAGCCTCTAGTACTCTCCAATTTCAAAAAGAAACCAAGGTGAGCATCCAGACCCTTGAAACTCAAGTAAGTCAGCTCGCAACCTCTATGAATCATTTAGAGGCACAAGTGAGTGGAAAACACCCTTCTCAACCTGAGGTGAACCCTAAAAATGTGAGTTCCATGATCTTAATAAGTGGCAAAGAGTTGGAGCATATAAAGGAGAAATCTCACGCGCAGCAGTTTGAAGCAGCAGGTTCGGATAACCAACATGGCCATGTTGCTGACCATGTTCATAGTAAAACTGAACAAGAGAAAGAAATTGACCTGGGAGCTAAAGAGAAGAGCAAGAAGGCTAAAAATACGACCTATCCCGAGTATAAGCCTGAACCACTATTCCCACAGGCACTGGTTCGACATGAGAAAAACGGGCCCATCCGAGATATTTACGAGACGTTTCGGAGATGCGAGGTAAACATTCCATTGCTAGATGCCATCAAGCAAGTGCCCCACTAAGCAAACTTTTTGAAGGAGTTGTGCACCATTAAGCGAAAACAGCAACTCAAAAGCCGCGAGAAAGTTAAGGTAAGTGAGAATGTGTCCGCTGTTTTACAACGAAAGCTTCCAACGAAATGTAAGGATCCAGGTATGTTCTCGATTCCTTGTGTCATTGGTGGAACTCATTTTGAAAGAGCTATGTTGGACTTGGGAGCTTCTATTAATGTAATGCCATATGCAATTTATAGTTCTTTGAAGCTCGGACCTTTAAAGTTCAACAGGAGTTATCATTCAATTGGCGGACAGGTCCAATGCATTTCTGAAGGGTTTGGTCGAGGACGTTCTTGTTTAAGTTAAAGATTTGGTTTTTCTAGCGGATTTTTATGTTCTTGATATGGAGAATAACAATGTTATTGCTCCTATTTTACTTGGAAGACCTTTTCTAAAAACGTCTAAGATCGTGATTGATGTGCATAATGGAATTCTTAGCATGGAATCTAATGATCAATTAATTAAGTTTAATATATATAATTTTATGAATTGTTCTGGTGATGATGAATCTGTACTATCTGTTGACTTGGTCGATGAATTGGCTCAGGAAATATTTTCACTTTCGGAGGATAATACCATGGAGGACACCATCAGGACTTTAGTAGACAACTCACTACCAACCATTGCTCCAGGACATGCCAATGAATTGGACAATCGCGTGATCATGGATGATGGCTTAGAGAACAATGGTAGAGGTGAGTCTATCGGTATTAGCCCTTTCGATACTAATGAAAAATCCCCACCCTCCATTTTTCAGACACCTGTCAAGGAACTGAAGCCTTTGCCCGACCATGACATGTATGTATTCCTGGGAGAGAAAAACACAATTGCAGTGATTATTTCAAGCAAGCTCACCAAAACTCAAGAAGATGAGCTCGTCAAAGTTCTCCAGTCTTACAAGCAAGCGTTGGGGTGGATCATCTCAGACATTAAGGGAATAAGGCCCACAATTTGCATGCATCGCATTTTATGGGAAATAGAAACTGAACTTGTTCATCAACACCAATGCTGCTTGAACCCAGTGGTGTTGGATTTTGTGAAAGCCGAGGTCCTGAAGCTTCTGGACATGAGTGCAAGCGGCGAGCATAGGAAACTACAAATTCAAGAACTACGAAAGAGATGGTAAGGACCTTTTGAAGTCACCAAGTTCTGTGCGCATGGGGCTATTGAGATTCGAAGTCCGTCGAGCTTGAAGTCTTTCATAGTCAATGGACACCGACTTAAGCCATATCACGAGAACTTCCAGCCTGAGCATGAACAGGGAGTGGGTCTCGAGGATCCCGTTTATTCTGAATAAATCGAGAGCTTCGTATCAAGCCAACGACGATAAAAAAGGGCGCTTGTTGGGAGACAACCCAATTTTTATTGCTTTATTCTAGATTTTTTTTTATTTACTCTGTTATTTCTCTAGTTTTGTTTAGGACTTGGAGTGATTTAAGGTAGACACAATTTTTTGAAGGCATGGGCGAACCACGTACACGTTAAATGATAGTTTTAAGTCGTGCCCACGCTTTAATATAATTTGTTTTTGTTACTCATACTTTTTCTGTTCTCTGTAGCCAGAATTTTTCTCGAACATTGGGACTGCTGGTGTTGGGCTTGAACTGACATGACCATGTCATTAGAAACCTGGAAATTTTCCCACATCAATCTGGACTTACTACAGAATAAGGAATTATAAGAGCTTTGTTGCAGATCTGGCAGATTTTTGTGGAAATTAAAGGTTATTCATGCATGCTACCTAGATAAAATTTTGTGAGTTTCTATGTCTTGCATTACATCATATTATTTGAAATGTGGTCCAGAGTTTTTGTCAGAGTTTTGAGGTTTGTTTAAATGGTATTGAGTCTTGTTCGTTGTTTTCCTTGTAGTCGTTTTCAATTCATTTATGTCAATTCTCTAGAACAACCTTCTTCTTGTGTTCGCACACTTGTTTTGTTTGAGCCCTTGGTGCTACATGATGATGAACATTACTTGATGATTATGTGATGGAGACACATGAAATTAACACTTGGTTATGACTCTCTTATTTGTGAGATTTGAACTTATGAGCTTATATTGAATATCTTGCTCCATTTTCTTGAATGTGTGATGTCCTCGACTAGTTGATTTTTCTAGAACTTGCTTTGCTATACATGTCTATGTGTACAAATTTGATGAAATTGGATGCATGAAATCAAAATAAGGGTACTTAGGACTATAATTTCCTATTTATATCCTCTCTTTTTAAGCCTACCTTTTTTTCATTAATCAATAGTAAGCCACTTTTCAGCCTTAGACCTTTCTTTGATTTATAACCACATCATAAGCTATAATATTCTTTTCTTGATGCCATCTTTTGAACCTTGTATCGAATCAATTATATGAATTTCTTTTAGACAAGGGAGAGCTCAAGATATTAGATGTGATCGTGACTTGTACGTAGTCTCGCTATTCAACGTAGGATCATCATTTATCTTCCATTTCATATTTCGTAAACAAA